TATTTAAAAAATTAATAATTTTCGAAAGGTAACCCTAAAACAATAATAAATAAAATAGTGAATAATATGAATATTCAGGGTTGGAGCCTTTATAAGGGTCACTGGTATCGCTTGTTTTACGAAAAGCTACAATGGCCAGATGCCGAGCAATACTGCGTCGAATACGGCGGACATCTTGTCAGTATTCTAAGTGAGGAGGAGAATCAATATGTCGACAAACTTAGTAAAGGTATTTATCATTAACATACATCAATAATATCACTATACATTTCATGAAACCAACGCCACACAACAGCACACTGAAGATATTGTGCTGCAAAACATCGCTGTAAACAAATTCAAATTTCCGCCATATCAAAAATTAAATTCCTAGCACACACAACAATAACAAATAATCAAAATTCAGCAAACACGATCTGGATTGGCCTGAACAAGCGAAACTCGCCAATAAATGTGTACAAATGGAGTGACCACTCACCAGTCCACTACCTCAACTGGTACTCAACCCAACCCAACGAACCACTGGCGCATTGCGTCATGATGCAGACACATTCCTCATGGTTTGACCAGTCCTGCGAGGGCAAAGAACCCCTAAATTTTGTCTGTAAACTCAAAGTTCCCTAAAATATCTATCACCACTATACATTTTTCATTATTATGTTATTCTTTACGCATTATCATCACGAAAAATAAATCACATTTTACAGCTGCATAATTTTTTCACACTTCTCGCAGCTCTATATCCAATCCAATACAGCTTTCCTGCTCTCACACCAATTACACATAATAAATACTATCACAAAAGTAATAGTACTAATGATAATAAATATACTTACCCATACCCATATCACACGCATATAAATCAAAATATCCTTCACAAGCGTAACGGCAGCACGAATACAGATGTGCGTATCAGGTCATCAGATGAGATAACCATTGTCCTTGACACACTTATTATCTCATCTGACCTCACTCAATACACTAATAAATATACAACAATATTAAATAACAATAAATAAATAACAACCACAATAATAAATAATAACAATAATAATAAATACGACGAAAGGTCATTCAACTCGCTGCACCATACGACGAATTTCGCTAACCTATTTAAATAATATCACCACTCTATTCACACACCAAATTCATTTCATATCGAAACCATTCATTCCTTTAGTCCACTCGAAATAGACAAACTTCCATTATAATAATAATATTATTACTATTATTACAACTTATTACTGTATATAAATATACCATTACTTTTTATTGATATTGTTATTAATTATAAATAAAATGCTACTATTATTATTAATATCGTCATGTACTGTGAAAT